GTGGCATGGCGCTAAAGGGTTAGGTGGGCCCGACCCATTGCACCGGTCAGGATCAACAGCCGGGAGGAGAAAGTGGTGGGAACACTCTAAGTCGTGCGGGTGGGTGGGCGGACGGGCGGACTGGAGGAAGGTGGGGCAGGGAGGGGGGCGTCATTCAGGCCCCTTCCTGCTGCAGTGGAGTCACCAGTGCAACTGCGCCGCGCCGCCGCGCCGCTGCGCTGCGCTCTGACGTCACTGCGGTCAGTGCCTCCTGGCTTGGCGGCACAGCCCTAACGTCCCTAAAACGCGCGTGCGTGCGACGGACAGGAAGCATTACTGCTGCCCCATCCTCTGCACTTCAGGCTGCCGCCGCACCGTATTATGGCCTCTATTTATCAGGCGTTTCATTTTCATTCGCAAAAAAACAAAATAATAAAAAAAATGGAGGCATCGGGTGTGGGGTTTCGAGGACGCGCCGCGCCTGGGTAAATTTTCCTGCTGCTTCAACTTTGAGCTTCTACCGCGCATACCGATCGAGGACTCCGGACTCCGCCATATAGCTTCAATTGGCACGCCGGTCTTAACACGTTCAGTGCGGCGTGACCCACACCGTGGGTCACAATAACATAGGATTGCCTACCCCCGCCGCACTCAACGTGTTAACTCCATCCAAACCGAAGGGGGAGGAGCTGCGGCGCGAGGCAAGGGCGGCCTGCAGCTAAAAATTGCTCACAAACTGCCGAGCAATATGGATGACATGACCCGGGGCAGGACGAAACCAGATGAAGGCCCTAATCGGCATCATCACCACGGCGCGGGAACACGGTTACGACGGTCGTTCTGCTCAAAAAACCCGAATCTTTTTGGGAGCAAAATCCCGACGTCGCCGTAACCAACGAAATTTTCTTCGAAACAAAGAAAAAATTTCAACAGATCGACAAAGTTGGTTGAATTTGGTAAAACGCTGGTTTTTGTGAAAAATGATTTTTGTTATCTGGACAAAAAAAAATAAAAAAATGTGACTTTGGCATCTGAAACGAAAATTTTCGTTCCATTAATTAAATTTCTTTTCCCTACAGACGTATGCGGACGTATGGTTTTAGGTGTGGTCGTCTTCGGTGGCCTTTCCTGACGAGCCAGGTGCATATCCGTTCCTCCGATAAGCACCCCGGAGCTTGGAGCCTCTGGTCGATAATGCCTTCGGGTTGGCGATGCTTATAAACCGCTTCCCAAACTGGATGAAGGGTGAGATCGCCCGCCCCGAGCTATATCGCGTCATGTCCACGTCGCCACTCGGTTCGCAAAAAAGATCAGAGGGAGTGTCTTCTTCTTCGGATACACAAAATGCTTCTGCCCAGCGCCCACGTCTTCCTAGCTTGCAGCTTGCAACAGAGTAAAGCGAGAGGTCAATAAACCCTCGTCAGTTGGATATTGCATATTTTATTGGTAGCGCGCCGCATACGAACGAAATTCACAGTCCCGGTTGATTTCCCTTTCGGCAAAGGGGCCCGTGCGAATTCTTCCTCGATCCCCGAACGTTCGCAAAGGATGGGCGGCCGGGCTGGAGCAGGGCAGGGACCTGGTCCATGGCGTGCCAGCCAGCCTCGCCCAGCCACTCGCCGGGCGGCGCCCCCGCTGCCGCTCCGCTGCCGCTCCGCTCCGCCCCGCCCCGCTCTACCCCTTCCCCCACGCAGCGCTGCGCCGGCCAAGGACCTCTCCTCTCTCTCCCATGGGATGGGCTCTGGAATGGAATGGCAGCTTCACTTTCACTGCCTCTGAGAAAGTACACGGCACGGCGCGGCGCGGTGCGGTAAGGCGTCTAGCGTCGCGCCAGGGGCGAGGTGGGGCCGAGCGGGGCGGGGTGGGGCGGGGCGGGGCGGGCAGGGCCGAAGAAAGTTAACGTGGCTTCCAGGGGCAGCGCCCTCGCCTCAGTCTTCCTGCGACCGTTGTGCCCGCCACAGAGACTTCCAGCCAGGTGTGTGTTTGTGCCGGCCCGGGACCTGACCGGGGACCTCGCCGTCGAGAGTGTGCCGGCCCGGGACCCGGGACCTGACCGGGGACCTCGCCGTCGAGAGTGTGCCGGCCCGGGACCCGGGACCTGACCGGGGACCTCGCCGTCGAGAGTGTGTCGCCCGCGCCGCCCGCTCACTGCCGTCCTTCTTGCAGGATGGGGATCACCTACGAACCTCTGCAGCCCGAGGTGGCGGAGCGCATCGACAATCTGTTCGGCCACAAGAACTGCCTCATCGAGGTGAACCCGGGCAAGGTGCTGATGCCTCCGCGCTACGAGGAGATCGGCGACCGGATCCGCATGTCCGAGGTCCGCCCCGACGACGTCTGGGTCGTGTCCTACCCGCGCACAGGTGAGTTTCGGCAGACACTTGTTTTTGCGGACTTTTTTTTTTTGGGGGGGGGGGTGTTGTTTATTTTGTTGTGGGCTCGTGCCGTGGAACCGTGGGAGGTGAGCAATTTGGTGAACAAATATTTGAAAAGAGACCTTAGAAGAAATATTATACTGGATCAGGTGGCTGACTCACGCCGCGCACTTTCGTAGTGATACTGTACCGCACGCACGGGTGCGGACGGGCTTGCCTATCGTCGCTGCCGACCGCTCCTTAAGGCCCCGTGCGAGTAGGCAAGCCCGCCCGCACCTGTGCATGCGGTACAGTATAACTTCGAAAGTGCGCGGCTTGAGTCAGCCACCTGGTATTACTTGTTTTCTAGTATAGTGCTAAACGTTTCTTTTAAACAGTGCCGCATGGCCACTTTGCTTAGACAACGATTTACTCCGGATCTTTCGGCTAGCATCTTGGTTATCCATCGAGGACGCAGTAAGGGGTTGGCCGATAGAGAGAGAGAGGGGGGGGGGGGGTTACACCTAGTCACTCTCAAATCTTCGAACTACCTCCGCCTGTTTCCTGCCTCCGTTCTCTTGTGCCGGCGGGCCGGGCCAGAGGCTGACGTGGGCCGGCGGGGAACCACTTTCAAAAAGAGAAACAGCTGCCAGCATATCGTGCAGAGCGGCGGTAAGAGGTAGGGGAGAGGAGGAAGTCGAGTGATGTCAGTGTCAGGACGGAACGCCGGAATAATCCTCTAACGCAGTAAACCGGTTCCACGCAGCGAGTGCGCGCCCGCCGCGCCACGCCGGCCGGCAGCCCGGTCCGTGCGTTCACTTTCCATTGCAGCCGGTGCCCCCTCCTGCTCCCCCCCCCCTCCCTGCACGAAGGGTACCCCCTCCTCTACCCCCACGAAGGGTACCTCCCCCCCCCCTCCAACACAACACAACAGTACTGGTAATGGATGCGCGTGACCCCCAGGAAGCACCTGGGCGCAGGAGATGGTCTGGTGCATCGGCAACGACCTGGACTTCGAGCGCGCCAAGATGGTGCAGCAGTTCCGCACGCCGCTCATCGAGTGAGTATTATTTATTATCGTCCGCCTCTGCCGCGGCCAACAACGACGCCTCTCTGGTTTCAATGAAAAAAATAAAAAGGAAAAACAGAACGCGACGACTGCTTTTGCACGCAGAAAAATAAAATTCGGTTCCGTGCAAATCGGTTTAACTGCACAATTTTACACCCGAGCAAAAAAATTAGCTGGGTGTAAAAATATTTAGCCGTAGCGCTAAGTGACATTAGCTACACGATTAAAAAACGTTGTGGTTAACTATATGGCTAAAAAATTAGCCCTGGTGCTAAATAAATTAGCCCAGTCTATTCAGTTAATTTTTTAGCCCCGGTGCTAAAAACTTAGCAGAGCCACGAATTTTTTTTCTGCGTGTGCAAATGGGCTGGGTGGGTATAGAGTATGTGCCTTGTGCGCTGCGCGCGGGTTCTTTCTGGTGCCTCTCTTACTGCTGACGTTGGCGTGTCGCCGTCGACGCTGCTGCTGGTGGCGTTCCCCCTTCCAAAAAGTCAGTTGTACTGTAATAATAAACGTCTGCAGCAGGCGAACACAATGATGACTGAATTGGCAGAGACGACGTCGACGGAGCGAGGCGGGCAGCGGGAGAAATACAGCAATGATAAAAAGCAACAGCTCGTTGTTGTTCATGTCGCGGTGAATTAATCAAGCCCCTCCCCGGGCGGAGCGGGGCG